ACATTGGAAGGGACTTCACGCTGACACACAAGTTTGTCAGTCTATGAATACTTTCTAGTTTATTTATAATGAGAAAGTGAGCTTATATATGAACAGAATGATGCGAGAGTCATGTGACAACAGCATAAGCATTATATTAGTCTTTGATTGGTCATTTCCACACAAAAACAATCTCCGTCATGGTATAGGTGTGATCTTCTTCAGTCTTATCTTAAAAAGAGAAAAACATTCTTTTGTCTTCCAAATCACACGATGGGAGGGGGTCTGTGTGTGTGAGCAGACATTTCTTAAGCAAGGATTTCTTATAGTACCACAAAGCCCAGCAGGCAGAAAATATTCACACAACATATGTATTAAAGAATATAAAAGTAAATATTTATAAAACTTATAGAAATAGCGTATATATATATTATATTCAATAGGAAATGAAATAGGCATTTTACCAAATCCATCACAACAAGCCGTTCCTCTAATCTGGCCACACCCCTGGGATCACTGGGCAGCCTATGGCAGCCTGTCCCTCCCTCTGCAAGCTTTGCCTCCTTGCCGGTGATTGGCCACCAGATCTGTAGCTCAGAAAAGGCACACAGGCAGCCAATCAAAGACGAGGAAGCGGAGCTAGGAGAGGAGGAGCTGAGCGGCAGCGCAAAGATTTGAGATCGAGCGAGGGAGCAGCTGGAGCCAGTGAAGAGGAGGAGAGCGGCTGGAGAAGGAAGACAGCTGATGGGTAAGTGTCTGTGTCTGAAGGAGGGAGCCCAGGCTGGAACATGGGTCAGCACAGCAATGTAAGTATAATTGGTGTCAGTGGGAGGAATAGTGCCCCATCATTGGTGTCAGTGGGAGGAATAGTGCCCCATCATTGGTATCAGTGGGGGGAATAGTGTCCCATCATTGGTATCAGTGGGAGGAATAGTGCCCCATCATTGGTGTCAGTGGGAGGAATAGTGCCCCATCATTGGTATTAGTGGGGGGAATAGTGCCCCATCATTGGTGTCAGTGGGAGGAATAGTGCCCCATCATTGGTGTCAGTGGGGGAATAGTGCCCCATCATTGGTATCAGTGGAAGGAGGAATAGTGCCCCATCATTGGTGTCAGTGGGAGGAATAGTGCCCCCATCATTGGTGTCAGTGGGAGGAATAGTGCCCCATCATTGGTATCAGTGGAAGGAGGAATAGTGCCCCATCATTGGTGTCAGTGGAAGGAGGAATAGTGTCCCATCATTGGTATCAGTGGGAGGAATAGTGCCCCATCATTGGTATCAGTGGGAGGAATAGTGCCCCATCATTGGTATCAGTGGGAGGAATAGTGCCCCATCATTGGTATCAGTGGGAGGAATAGTGCCCCATCATTGGTATTAGTGGGAGGAATAGTGCCACATCATTGGTGTCAGTGGGAGGAATAGTGCCCCATCATTGGTATTAGTGGGAGGAATAGTGCCACATCATTGGTGTCAGTGGGGAGGAATAGTGCTCCATCATTGGTGTCAGTGGGAGGAATAGTATCCCATCATTGGTGTCAGTGGGAGGAATAGTGTCCCATCATTGTGTCAGGGGGAGGAATAGTGCCCCACCATTGGTGTCAGTGGGAGGAATAGTGCCCCATCATTGGTGTCAGTGGGAGGAATAGTGCCCCATCATTGGTGTCAGTGGAAGGAATAGTGCCCCATCATTGGTGTCAGTGGGAGGAATAGTGCCCCATCATTGGTGTCAGTGGGAGGAATAGTGCCCCATGTTCCCCATCATTGGTGTCAGTGGGAGGAATAGTGCCCCATCATTGGTGTCAGTGGGAGGAATAGTGCCCCATCATTGGTGTCAGTGGGAGGAATAGTGCCCCATCATTGGTGTCAGTGGGAGGAATAGCGCCCCATCGTTGTCAGTGGGAGGAATAGCGCCCCATCGTTGTCAGTGGGTGGAACTCTAATAGGAAGAGGTGGAGCCTAAAGAGAAAGGGGCAGAGTTTGCAGATAAAAGGGTGGGCACATTTAGATGCGGGGGTGGGGGCCCGATTTTAGTCTTGCCTAGGGCAGCACATAACCAAAATACACCACTGGGGGAACCCCACTGACAAACTGAAACATTAATGAATGTTTCACTACCAAAATCCCACGTGACTTCATAATAGAACTCATGTGGTGTTTTGGTAACTGAGCGGGATCTTACCACATACTCAGATGCAGGAAGATACCGCTCAGTAAATTGTTTGAAGTTCGCGGTCGAACATTCTGTAGGTTCAGATGTGTGACACGGGGGGTGTTCAGCCCATCACTAGTGCTGCATAGCAAAAAAAATAACCTGGTCATGAAGGGGGATAAAATCTTGTGGAGCTGAAGTGGTTAAACATGTTCTCCATCTCAAGTTAAAAGTTGTTCCCGTGATGAAAACATCTCTGCCTTTGCTGATGTCTTATTATGTGTCTGATATGTTGTATGCCTTACATCTGTTTTAGTTTCTTTTGGAGAAAAAATAGAGAAGATCAGAAAGATCATACTAAGTAAGTTGTCTTTGTTTTCGGTTGCGATCATTTCTTCACAATTTTCTTGTCCCTTATTGTGACTTTATTCTTTTAATTCATTTAGGTACCCGCTCATGCATTTGGGTAAGAATATTTACGATATCTATGTATAGAAGCATGGAATATGATATGATAAAATAGAACCCCTTTATAAATGCAACAGGATATTCTCCACTCAAATCAACAGGAAAAGGTTTTAAGACATTACAATTATTTGTGAGTAGAACACATTCACCAGTAGGGTGAGATGATGAACGACCTGCTAGAAGTAGAGAAGTATAGGATGAAGCTGATTCCTTCTCACAGTTACATCCCTGGGGTCCTTACATTTTCTGGGTTGTGTGTTTGGTCTTTTCTCTGATCATGGGTATCTAAAGCCCACCACCTCTATTTCGGGTAGAAAACTGAAGACCAGGGATCAGGAGAAGACATGATATGGTCATGCTGGTGGACCAATGACTTTTCGGTCAGATAACAGGTGACTGTGAACATACAGCAAGGCCAGCTGGCCTAGGATATTACTGTATCATTTTCTTACATGTCTCAGGACGAGATCTCCAAACTTGAAGGCCCCTGGGTCTATGCCCCTGTTGCAGCCCTTCTAGCAGAGGTCTCCAAACTTTCTATAGAAAGGGCCAGTAAATTGTCTTTCAGACTTTAAGGGGGCTGGATTGTGGCCATTAGGAGTAGAAAAGGTCCCAACGTAAGTGTGAAAAACAGTGCCCCATCTTTTTAGTCAGTTACTGAATTTTGCCCCATCTTTGGTGTCATTGGACCCCATTGGAAGAAATTGTTCTCCATCGTTGATGTCATCATTGCTGAAGGAATCATGCTACATTGTTGATGTCATGTTAGGAGAAATTGTCCCCCATCATTGATGTCATTGGAAGGAATCGTGCTACATTGTTGATGTCATTGGGGGGAATTGTGCCGCTTCATTGGTGTCATTGGTGGGTAATTATGCCCCTTTGTTGGCATCAGCAGATGAAATAATGCCCCAAGGGCCTGATAAAAGCAAACAAAGGGCCACATCCGGCCCCCTTACAGGACCACTGCCTTACAGGAAGGAAATAGTGGGGTGCACTTTCCATACTGGATTACTTATTCATTTTAAATTATTGAGAATGCATTCAGAAATATTTCACAATGGGAATCCCAAAGAGAAATTATAAACTGGGAAGGTACCCATTCCACCCACAGTAGATTTAAAATATTGGTTTAGACAGTGGTGCTCAACTGCCTTAGCCAATAGGGAAGTGCATGCCAAGGATCAGCAACCCCTGGATCGTGATCTGATCTTGCCATCCTAGATTATCATAGTGCAGCGAGCCAGCACCAGTGGTGGAGGGATCAGGGGCCACATAAGCCGATGCTGAATACAGGAGTTTGGGTGTGCCTTCAGAAAGTGCACTACACACCCGCAAGATGACATAGAAGTCAATGGCAAAGTGCAGCTAACCCGCAGGAAAGCCTCAGGTGCACTGAGCTGCATTGGCCTTGCCTGTAAACCACAGTGCATCAGTGTGAAAGCAGCTTTATACAGGGGGGCGTATTTGCCATGAGGCCAACAAGACACTACCCTAGGGTGGCATTTTTCAGGGGGGGGCCACGCCGTGCCTGGGAAGTTTCCAAATGGGGACATCAGTGATGTCACTTACTACAGCAGAAGAATCCAGTGAGGAGTGGGAGTAACAGGCCTCCCCTGGACACTGCCGTCCTCTGGCATCATCACTCAGTCCTGGCTCCCCACCACCATCCACTGCAGAGAGCTCCGGGAACTCCGATCCTCAGAACAGCCTACAGCCTGACCAGGCAGACTGCATGCTGGGAGTTGTAGTCCTTCCCCTGCCTCCGACCTGCCACCTCCACAGGAGCGAACTACAATCCTGGCAGGCTGTGCTGGGGAAGGACTACAAATCCCAGCATGCAGTGCGCCCCACCAGGCTGTAGGCTGTTCTGAGGGTTGGAGCTCTCCACAGTGGATGGTGGTGGGGAGCCAAGGCTGAGCGATGATGCTAGAAGATGGCAGTGTCCAGGGAGGCAGGGATCTCTGTCACAGAGATGGAAGAGGGAAGGGAAATGCGGCTGTGAGGAGGATACATACGGGCAGTACATGGCTCCCCCCCTCGGTCTCCACCCCTCCACCAGGGCCTGGTGAGAGATCTCCATCCTACTACTGTGTGTATACCATGTATACTATTGTGGGGGGGGGGGGGAGCTGACAGAGACTGACCAGAGATTGCCAGCTGACTGACTCATACCACAACTGACACCTAGGCACCTTTCATACCACTAACTGACACCTTCTCACCGCTTATACCACTAACTGAAACCTTCTCACCGCTCATACGCTCATACCACTAACTGACACCTAGGCACCGCTCATACCACTAACTGACACCTAGGCACCTCTCATACCACTAACTGACACCTTCTCGCGCGCTCATACCACTAACTGACACTTAGGCACGGCTCATACCACTAATTGACACCTTCCCTCCAACTTACAACTAACTGACACCTTCACACTGCTCTGCTCATACCACTAACTTACACCTAGGCACTGCTTATACCACTAACTGACACCCTTCACACACCTCATACCGTACCACTAACACCTAGGCACCGCTCATATCACTAACTGACACCTATGCACCGCTAATACCACTAACTAAACACCTTTACAGAAAGATGTGGCCGACCACTAAGTTCTGCTCAGCAAATGTTGGTGCACTTGAGACAGTGGGGGTGCACTGGGGGGGGGGCATTTTTGTGTTGCCTTGGGCAGCACAAAACATAAATACACCACTGGTGTTATAGGGGCTCAGGACAGTACAGCTCATCTACATTTGCAGTTTGGGGGAGGGGGGGCTATAAATCCCATAGTTCATTGTGGCCCACGACTGGTTACCAAATCATTTAGGTGGCCCTCGCTCTTCAAATGGTTGAGCACCCCTTGGCTAAGGACATTGCAGGCTTCATAGTCATGGATTTAGTGTGATGTACAATCATTTCTCTTGTTGCTGTTATCTAATGATTATTGTTTTGTATCTTTCATTATATAGAGGTATCTTCCAGGATATTACACAGTTGGGATCTTTTCAAGGTCATCAGAGAGTGACTATGAATGGCTTATCAACCGACTAAAATGGGAGCCTTCCATATCAATATGATAACCGTCCTTCCTCACTACATCTCCAACAATGGTGAGGAGCAGTTCATGGAGGCCGTCTCTCGGTGCACGTTCGGTATTTTGTATCACACCAAGAATAGCGGACGGATCAACATTGTGGACGTCACCGACAATTTATATAATAAGGAGCTGAGATATCTGTCTGAACGCCTAGGTAAGAGGTCATCATGTATGTGGCTGATTCATAACACAGACGGCTACATGGGCTGATGTTCCATCATGTATGATTCGGGTAGTAGGGTTCATCACCGCCCATCCCCCACCATGGTCAGCTACTTTATTCACATAATTCTGCTTCCTTAGGAAATATCTAGTGAGCTTTGTTATGTCTTGCTTTGTTCTGCACTGTGTGTCTGTGTGGAGGTGGATATCGTAGGAAAGGATTTGCTTCTTAATGTCAGAGATGCCGCACCCCCCCCCCCCCCCCCGATAACCAGTGATCTGATAGCTGGTGTAGGAGGGGTGGAGGAAGCACAGATTGGATTGCAGGGAGATCCTTACAGTGCAGGTCCTCAGGTACAGCTTCCTCTCCAGCAAGGAGAATCGTGAGCAGTATAGTAGCACCATCACCAAATCTCACTCTGAATCTGCTGAGACTACAATCAGAGGCAACAGTGCCTTAGATGATCTCACACTGCAGCTACAGAAAGAGAATGCCTAGGCACAGGAATTTCACTGCAACTTCTCTGGAGGAATTCCAAACCTAAGGTAGATTTTCAGGGTACTCCTTAGACACAATAACCATTCCAAGATGGTTCCTATAAAACAGGAAATATAAACATCTTTATGCCCAAGTCCACATTTAAGGGAACCTCTGGTTTGTCCGTTGAAGCAAAGCAACAACCTCCGTTATTTGCCCACCTATCTGCTGCTCATTCCCTCAGCTCCCCATTTCTCTGTTCACCCGTCATGGGAAAGAAACTTACCTGAGGCATGTGACCCTCTCCCCTTTACAAATTACCATTACTACAACTGATATTACTACCAACACTAATGATGATTATTATTATTTATTTAGTTTAATAGTTTATATAGAGGACCTGATTCACAGTTTGCTTCTTTCTGCTGCTACTACCACAACTACTGCTATTCCCATTACAGCTACTACCCAACTACTACTATTCTTACTGCACCTCCTACTACCTCAACTACTACTATTCCTACTACACCTCCTACTACCCCAACTACTACTATTTCCCACTACACCTCCTACTACCTCAACTACTACTATTCCTACTACACCTCCTACTACCTCAACTACTACTATTCCCACTACACCTCCTACTACCCCAACTACTGCTATTCCCATTACAGCTACTACACCTCCTACTACCCCAACTACTACTATTCCTATTACACCTCCTACTACCCCAACTACTACTATTCCTATTACACCTCCTACTACCCCAACTACTACTATTCCTACTACACCTCCTTCTACTCCAACTACTACTATTCCTACTGCTGATACTATTCCCATTACACTACTACTATTATTACTATTACCCCAACTACTACTATTCCTACTACTACACCCCAACTACTACTATTCCTACTACACCTCCTACTACCTCCTACTACCTCACTTACTACTATTCCTACTACGCCTCCTCCTACTACCCCAACTACTACTATTCCTACTACCCCCTCCTACTACCCCAACTACTACTATTCCTACTACACCCCCTACTACCCCAACTATTACTATTCCTACTACACCTCCTTCTACTCCAACTACTACTATTCCTATTACACCTCCTTCTACTCCAACTACTGCTATTCCCATTACAGCTACTACCCCAACTACTACTATTCCTACTACACCTCCTCCTACACCTCCTACTACCTCACTTACTACTATTCCTACTACGCCTCCTACTACCCCAACTACTACTATTCCTACTACCCCTCCTACTACCCCAACTACTACTATTCCTACTACACCCCCTACTACCCCAACTATTATTCCTACTACACCCCTACTACCCCAACTATTACAATTCCTACTACACCTCCTACTACCCCAACTACTACTATTCCTACTACACCTCCTACTACTACCCCCAACTACTACTATTCCTACTACACCACCTCCTACTCCAACTACTACTATTACTACTATACCCCCTACTACCCCAACTATTTACTATTCCTACTACCCCAACTACTACTATTCCCACTTCTGATACTATCTAAACTACTACTACTATTCCTACTACACCTCCTACTACCCCAACTACTACTACTCCTACTACCCCTCCTACTACCCCAACTACTACTATTCCTACTACACATCCTGCTATCTCTGCTGCCGCACTCATCCCATGTAAATATTCTTCCATGGATGTATGCATTGGATGTAACGTGATGTCTTTTATACACAGGGAAGGAGAAGGTGATTGTGGTTGTTGATGATCTGGAGGACGCCAGTAGTAAGGAGAAGGCCCAGATCCTGGAGGCACAGCCAGTATTGGACGTTTGGCCGAGGATCTCTTTCTCTTTAGTGCAAATGAGAAATAAACTATGAGAAGCGGTGAAAGTACACGGGAGTCATAACACGTACATACATGTAAAGGCAATGACACTTCTATTAAAGGAATCCTTGGTGATCCCGCCATCAACATCCTTGTTCAGTCACTTCCTATTATGGAGTGACAATTATCTTCTAATTGTGGCCCCGATGTTGTCACCCGCTCACATGTGGCCCCGGTGCAGACTACAAGGGTCTGAGCTGACACACATTCTGTTGGCTTGGTCCGCTGTAGTCATTATCAGGATTCTGATCCAAGGCAATATACAGTTAGGTCCATATATATTTATAATATATATATATAATTTCAGTCCTTTTATGATCACCACGTGAAATTATTCCATATCTCCAAAGTCTCCACGTGAATATTCAAGATAATTCTTCAGTTGTGCCGTGCTCCCCTATTAGGTGTGCACTCACCAAAAATAATTGCCTTCCATTCTCATGGTTGGCATTTGTGCGTTGGTATATATAATGCTCCAAAGACCAGATAATCCTTCAAGACACAACATGAGTTCTTCCAAAGATGGCCCAAATTCTCCAGTGTATTAATAAACTCAGAAATGGTGAATTCACGTTCCACTGTATTGGACTGTTTATTATATTATGATTGAATATAAATATTTTTTAATTACAGAATATGATTTATACATACAGTATATAGCTGTCCATGCAAATGAAACAGGCCATTGTAAGGCTTCAAAAATGAAACAAATCCATCAGAGAGATCGCAGCAACATTAGGAGTGGCCAAATCCACAGTTTTGTACATTCTGAGGAAAGAAGAACGCACCGGTGAGCTCAGCAATATAAAAAGGCATGGACGTCCATGGAGGACAACTGTGGTGGATGATCGCAGGATCCTCTCTATGGTAAAGGAAAACCCATTCACAACATCCAGACAAGTGAAGGACACTCTCCAGGAGGTGGGTGTATCATTGTCAAAGTCTACAATCAAGAGAAGACTTCACGAGAGCAAATACAAAGGGTTCACCACAAGGTGCAAACCATTCATAAGCCTGAAGAATAGAAAAACCAGATTAGACTTTGCCAAAAAACGTCTAAAAAAGCCGGACAAGTTCTGGAAAAGCATTCTTTGGACGGATGGAACTAAGATGAATCTGTACCAGAATGACGGGAAGAAAAAAGTGTGGAGAAGGCTTGGAACAGCTCATGATCCAAAGCACACAACGTCATCTGTAAAACATGGTGGAGGCAGTGTGATGGCATGGGCGGAGGCAGTGTAATGGCATGGGCATGCATGGCTTCCAGTGGCACTGGGTCATTGGTGGTTATTGATGATAAGACAGAAGCAGCCGGATGAATTCTGCCGTGTTTAAAGATATACCGTCAGCCCAGATTCAGCCAAATGCAGCAAAGGTGATTGGACAGCGCTTCACAGTACAGTTGGGCAATGATCCAAAATACACTGCAAATGCAACTCAGGAGCTTTAGAAGGACAAGAAGTGGAATATTCTGCAATGGCCGAGTCAATCACCGGACCTCAACCCAATTGAGAATGCATTTCACTTGCTGAAGGCAAAACTAAAGGCAGAAATGGCCACAAACAAAGAACAACTGAATACAGCTGCAATTAGAGCCTGGCAAAGCATCAGAAAGGAGGAAACCCAGTCTTTGGTCAGGTCCATGGGTTCCAGACTTCAGGCAAAGCATCAGAAAGGAGGAAACCCAGTCTTTGGTCATGTCCATGGGTTCCAGACTTCAGGCAAAGCATCAGAAAGGAGGAAACCCAGTCTTTGGTCATGTCCATGGTTCCAGACTTCAGGCAAAGCATCAGCAAAGCATCAGAAAGGAGGAAACCCAGTCTTTGGTCATGTCCATGGGTTCCAGACTTCAGGAAAAGCATCTCAACAAAATATAAAAAATTAACATTTTATTTATGATTATATTCAAGTGTCCAATTACTTTTGTTCCCTTGAAAAAGGGGGATGGCTGCTCTTAAGAGCTGTAATTCCTAACCCTTCCTTCAGTTTGGATGTACATACCCTCAAATTACACCTGAGAGTGCGCACTTTCAGCCCATATCCATTAAAGAACTAGAGCTTGAATATGTTTTGATAAATACCTGAAAAAATCTAAAATTGTGCCTGTGTCCAAATATATATGGACCTAACTGTATATATTTCAGGTACATACAGTATATAGTGCCATCACTTTCCATATATATTGTACATTCCCATCAGTCCCTAACCCTCAAGGGGTGTACAATCTAAGGTCCCTAACTCACATTCTTACATACACATACTGGGGACAATATAGATAGGAGCCAATTCACCTACCAGCATGTCTTTGGAGTGTGGGAGGAAACCGGAGTACCTGGAGGAAAACCCACACAGGCACAGGGAGAACATGCAAACTCCAAGCAGGTGGTGCTGTGGTTGAGATTTGAGCCAACGACCCGAGTACTGTCAGGTGGAAGTGCTAACCACTTAGCCACTGTGCTGTCCTACCTAGTCGCTGTGCTGCCCACATGTGCTGGCCGTGTATGCAGACAGGAGATCTATTTCTGGTCAGCCAGTCCTGTGATGGAATCATCCCCTCCTGTGTTACATCTCAGCGCCACTGATCTTCTGCAGCCACTTCATGTCTGCATGCACCCCAGTGATGGCTGTGATGGTATTTCTCAGGGCGAGATTCCTGAGGATGACATCAGTGGACATCACGCCTGTGTCATGTGTGTTGAAACAGCCATTTGTAGCCTCTACTGTGAGCCAATGTGACAGGATGACAACTCAGGAGCACAGATGGGAGACAGGGACGGAGAGTTGTCACCTTATAATAGGAACAAGGAGCTTCATGGCGGGATCACCAGAGATTATTTTAATGCAATCTGCAAAATTAAAAATATTGAAAATGACTTTTGAAATCGCATTAACACGGTAGAACTTGTATCGGTTTTTTATATTTGGGCGTAACTAAGCTTTATTGATTTTTAACAAATTTATGGGACTGATGTATTCAATCTTTTTTGTCTTCTATGTATCAACCTTGTAAATCTTTGTGTTTTTGATGTAATACTTGACATCTTAGAATTTATCCCTCATTTATCATCCAGATGAATGTTTATGTTGATGTATTTTTTGAAGAGTTATATAAAATGATTTGTACATCCGATCAATCCAACTCCACTCCAGGTCACGCCCGCATCCCCAGCTCTCCTTTTTTCTCATGTATTTGTTTGTTTTTTTAACACTTTTTAAAAATAATGTCCTTGCTTGTATTGTTATACTCACTGTGGAACCTGGAAGTCCAGTTAGAACCCTCTGCTGGCTACGTGACGAATACGTCTGTTGTTTTTGCTATGCCTTTCCAGCATCGTCCTGATCACGTCACGGCCCTCTGGGGTGCATTATGGGACATCCCCCGTCTGCCACTTTAAGAATCCCTCGCTCATCACAGGCAACTTCAGAGGCCGTTGCCAGCAGAGGGTTCTAACTGGACTGACAAAGTTGCTGGAGAGTGGATGGCATCGTCCTCATCACATACATGCTACTGACCAAGTAGCTCTCTGAGGTCCTAGATAATAAAATGATTGTAATTAGTCCTTTACAAATGAGGACGGTCTCAGCCTCTGCCCCTTTAGCTTGACAAAGGAGCGCGCTTCCACCCCAGAGGTTAGTGCATGTGCTGAAACACGTCGCTATGCATGCTGGTCCTTGACGTCATCACGCCAACGTTGCGCCTCAACGTGCGTTCCAGATGTCATCTTTAGGAGACTCCACATGCCGGCCGGCTTTTCTTCTGTTACCACGATTTCTGAGCGCAGACGCGGCTGTCATAGCCAGGGCACAGCCGTTCCTCTACCTTTATGAGACCGCACCCAATGAGCCTGTTTTTTCACAAAGAAATGTGAGTTCTACATTTGACTCCTATTAAATATTGGTTTATACTGCACTTAGAGGCGCTTCTTTTTATTTTCTTCATTATTCATCCTACTGATACCAATGATGGGGCACTATTCCTCCAACAAAACACCAATGATGGGGGCACTATTCCTCCCACTGATACCAATGATGGGGCACTATTCCTCCAACAAAACACCAATGATGGGGCACTATTCCTCCCACTGACACCAATGATGGGGCACTATTCCTCCCACTGACACCAATGATGGGGCACCATTCCTCCCACTGATACCAATGATGGGGCACTACACTGACACCAATGACAGGGTACGTCTCCTCCCTCTGACACCAATGATGGGGCGCTATTCCTCAAACAAAAAACCAATGATGGGACACTATTCCTCCCACTGACACCAATGATGGGGCACTATTCCTCCCACTGATACCAATGATGGGGCACTATTCCTCCCACTGATACCAATGATGGGGCACTATTCCTCCCACTGACACCAATGATGGGGCACTATTCCTCCCACTGATACCAATGATGGGGCACTATTCCTCCCACTGACACCAATGATGGGGCACTATTTCCTCCCACTGACACCAATGATGGGGCACTATTCCTCCCACTGATACCAATGATGGGGCACTATTCCTCCCACTGATACCAATGATGGGGCACTATTCCTCCCACAGATACTGATGATGGGGCACTATTCCTCCCACTGATACCAATGATGGGGCACTATTCCTCCAACTGATACCAATGATGGGGCACTATTCCTCCCACTGATACCAATGATGGGGCACTATTCCTCCCACTGACACCAATGATGGGGCACTATTCCTCCCACTGACACCAGTGATGGGGCACTATTCCTCCCACTGACACCAATGATGGGGCACTATTCCTCCCACTGACACCAATGATGGGGCACTATTCCTCCTTCCACTGACTACAAGCAGTATGTCATTTTTTTTTTTTTACTCCCACTTTCGCTGGGACATTTTCTACACTCACTGGCCACTCTGGCCCCCTTAAAGTCTAAAGAACAGTAAGCTGTAAGTTTGGAGACCCCTGCTCTATATGATTGCTCTCCCACAAAGATGATTCCAGTACTTA